CTTACTTTTTGTGATCCGAGTTCCATTTTGTTTTTTTATTTCTACTACGCTCTTCTCTTCTTGGATGTAGCGCTCAATAGTGGGGCCCGGGGTGGCACGGGAATTATCGCCCCGCAGCAGATCTGGTTTTGCCTACTGTTTTTAGACCCAGATTTCCTTCCCACATTTCTTCCTTACTATTTTTCCACCCTGAGTTATCTTGGCTCTCCTTCGGGGGGCTTGCTTGTTTGTCCTGCACTTTTTACTCCACTGGAGCCGCGGGTGTAAATTATTATCAGGTATAAGAACAGTTAGAGGTTTCTTATTCCTCGATAGCACTGACTGCATGATCAGACTCTTCATCATTCCTGTCGGAGTAATTATGGTTTCTTCTTTTGTAGTATCTGAACCATTGCTTTTGCGCTCGAATTCCTCCATTTGCTCCTTCAATTGCTCGTTTTCGGTCTTGTAGCCTCCGTTATGAGTAATCTCACCTTCGTCGATGATGACGGTCATTTGCTCTGCTTTTTTTTCACACCATTATCTTTTACTTTCACATTCTTTCAAATCTTCAAGCAGACGTTTAACTCACTGATCCGTGTCTTCCATTCCCCTACGGCGATACTTGGCCAGCTTCTCTATAGGCAATGTGTTTTTTTTTGTTTTTTTTTTTTTTTTTTTTTGTTTTTTTTTTTTTTTTTTTTTTAAATTTTGCGCCTTAACAAGGTGATTAACTTCGGTTTTGAAGCCCTAACAATGTAATTTACTTTTTTTTTTTAATAACACAACAAGGGTTCAAATAGGGATGGCGACTCTGCAAAAAGTGGCGCACAGTGCGAGTACGCCAGGCTTATGTGTACTGGCTGGCGGTTTAAAGTGCAATCTTTTTCTTTTTTTTTTTTTTTTTTTTTTTTTTTTTTTTTTTTTAAATAGCAGCCCGTATGGGAGATACCATCACTGGTACGAAAAAACGTCTCTATCTCCCCCAGGAAGGATCCATCTATTGGTGGGGAGCAACACCTTCAATCACGCTGAGATATTTTTGACTGTCTTCCAACCTGCCAGCATTGATTACCCTGAAGACAGGGGATTGATTGAGCAGGCTCAAATAGGGAGCAAAAGGGGCCTCTTCAGCCTTGCTGCTGGGCGTCGAAAATGTGAGACCATCAAGCCCTCGTGTCTTCGCTATAATTGTTTCTCCCTCACTCTGGTCCATACTACTGGAGATCCACTATTGACATACCATGGGGCTGAAAGGGGTCGGGAAATTTTAAGGTGGAGCGCAATGGTATGGCTGCATCCACCTTAGTCCAGTCATGAATGATATAGTCTCGTCTCATATTATCCTCTACACATTCTAGGAGATTACCTCCTTCCCAACGAACATAAGCCATTCTGCCCCCCTGGTCACTTTCCCAGCCAATCCCTTGAGAATTGCTTGATGGCCTTCTTTACGTCTTTTTTGGTATGAATTCGATCCACTTTAGATTTCACTGTCTGCCATTATATTGTAAGTTCCTCATGAATGTATTGTTTGATTAGCTCGGTCATTTCCACACCCTCTATTCTTACTTTTTCAATAGATAATATACACCGTTTCCTCCGAAGTGCCGAAATAACGGCTCTCCTCCCGATCTGGAACATGTTCTCTTGAAAAGTGTTGCCCGTAGGGGAGAACCATGTTTCACACAGAAGCGCTCTCCAGTCCCACGACCACTTTGTGCTCATCAACCTCCAAAATTCCTCCAAATCCGATCCCACCAGCGCCAGGTAAGGATCGCCCCTGGGACATTGCAAAAAAAACATGCTTCATAGTCTTGGGGATCTTGCGGGCAAGAAAGACTGTCAAACAGGACGTACACCATGGTGCGGCTAAACCCTTTTGTTCCAAATATGTACGATCAGTCAGCCAATCAATTGTGGGAAGGCAGTGGTGTTCTATCTGCCATTGCAGGGAGACCATCTTTGCTGGTCTGACCTTTGGGGCGGAGCCAGTCCTTTCCCACATTCGGATGGGACATCCAGCGCTCCCGCACGGTGCTCTTAAGGTCAACCGAGGCCTGAGAAGCCGGTAGGTGAGAAGCCGGTAGGTAGCTTTCACAAACATATCAAACAATTTCTTACTTCTTCCGGATCTTATTCTGTCGGGCGAATTTCATTGCCATTCCAACGGGTCAATGGGGAGTTTGGCAAGTGGGGTACCCGGAAGAAAAGCTACCCATTCATCTTGTTCCACCACTATACGAGTCCACCTTCTGCCACCTTTTTCTTCTCATCGTGCGGGTGGCTTACGAGGTGATTATCAAATTCCCGACGGAAGAGGATTACCGACGCTTCTTTCTCTCATACCTCCATCACCCTACCTATATTCTCACTATCCCCCACTGACGCTACCCAGTCCCCTTTCCGGAATCCCGACCCCCCTCACAAAATGTGCGCACCCAATCCAAGGGAGTAGAGAAAATTAACTGATCCAGATTTTGTTCAATGTGGTGACAATGCTTCAAGCTGGATCTCAATTGATGCGTCGTTTTTCATGTTCTTTGGCACCTGTTCGAACTGGTACGCCATGGTTCACTGTTTATCTGAATCAGCAGGGGCACAGTAAAAAGCCGCTCATACAGCTACGATCGGACTCCGAAAAGGAACTGGTGAAACCACAACCCAACCACCAAGGTGAAACCAGAACCCAACCACCAAGCCTGTCCCATGTCCCACTTCCCACTTTTCGTCCCCAAGACTGCTACCGAGCACGAACCTCCATACGAAGCCCGTCTGCTACACTCGGACCCGGAGGTCCTGTTCGAACTGGTACGCCATGGTTCACTGTTTATCTGAATCAGCAGGGGCACAGTAAAAAGCCGCTCATACAGCTATGATCGGACTCCGAAAAGGAACTGGTGAAACCAGAACCCAACCACCAAGCCTGTCCCATGTCCCACTTCCCACTTTTCGTCCCCAAGTCGCACCGAAGCGATTACACAAACAAAACATACACATGCGAAACGCATCCGCTACGGTGGCCCCCAAAGGTGCGATCCAAACCACACCGCCGCCGCGGTCTACCCTTGGTCCGAATCATCCACCAGCACAATAAAAAAACAGCCGAGTCTTTCGGGACGTCGGTAAAAAAAAAAAAAAAAACACAGGCTGCTTTGGCACCTTCTGGCTACAGATACACCTGCCATAGCTAGTGATACGTCCCCGCCATTTTTCACATTATGTGAGTAGTGCAGCGAGGCCAACGATCAGGAGAGCTGCGCTTCAAAAGAAAGCAAATGGAAACAGACGAGGGCATTTTCCAGATTTGCCATTTTGCTGTGTTGCGCAGTCGCAGCAAAATCAGGGTTGTCATTTTACCGTATTTCGCAGTCACACAGGAGTAGCAAATTGGAAAAAAAGGCAACACGCCACGACACCCTACCCCTCTAGGTCGTTTGGAGTTGGTTCAATCGAGCGCCACGACCCTCGCAGCTGACAGACGATACAGAGACGATTAGCATGGCCCATGGGGAAGGACGACACACAAAACGAGAAGTGGACTAAAAAAAAGATCAGCGTTCCAAGACGACCACATGAACGCGTGCAATTCAAATATCATACGGTTTAATTTTTTTTTAATTTAAAAGAGAACTGTTTGCGACGTTTTACTTTTCTTTTTCAACCTTCGGCTACCTTATTCAATCAAAAATGTAAGAAGATTCGTAACGGAATTGCCAAGAATCAACAACACTTGTCCAATCCATATGAAGTGTCGGTCGGCGGCCTGTTTCCGCCGCAAGTTTTCTGAGGAAAACCGCAGGTCAGGGCAAAACCCACCACACGTGGCACGACTACTCCCGCATCATAGAAATTTGGCTGGGAGACTTCCTGTTGACTTCAAGATTTTGTTCCCATTAACACACCGCACACCAGATGACATTGCAAATCTACACGAATCAGCCCCCAGCACCGCGGGCACGCAGCTTATTATTATACCCACTGAGCCAGATGCGACCCGAACTGCTTCCAACACAGCAGTCAAAACTCGAAAGAAAGGCAAACAACGATCATGCCTGAAACAGTAAAAGACCACATCGGTACAAGTATAACGACTAGCAATAAGAGCATTTTATATTAACCAATAAGATTATGCCAACAAATTGCACAAACAATAACAAATATCGCGAAAGAGTCGAAACCTCTCCATTCCCATCGGCTAGTCACAAGGATCAACACTGCAGTTAGAAGAAGAACAAATCCACCCTGAGCCTCGGCTCCACGTGAGGAATTACCAGTTCCGAGCTTAACCGTCCACAGATCGCATTTCAATTTTCAGCATATTGGCATTATAGAATGATTATAGTATTATACTTATCACCGGCCATTTTTTCAAAAATGGCCAACTTCAAGTCTGTCCTTTTTTTTTCTTCTTCTAGTCTGTCATTCTGTTCATCCTGAGTACTTCGTCCATAAGGCAAGGGAGGGAGTAGCCTCCTTGGCCACGATCCCAGCTAGATCATTCACAGAGCATCCCGACAACATTCTCAAGACTGAAGAGCTTCTGCTCCCTACTTCTCCCACATGCCTCCTCTCCACGTTCCATCTCTGTATTCTGCCGAAAACCCAGAGCCGAGAAACTATGAAGTTACCATGAAGTTACTGTGAAGTTTCTATGAAGTTACTATGAACCCATCGCCGAGACTTTGTCTGCTGCTCATCTCAGGACATATACGTATGTACTTAGACAGTTTTTAAGGCTATATACATCAGCGGACAGAACTGGCCTGGTAAACAGTAGGCGCAAAGGGAGTAGAGGACAACAAACGAGGGGTTGTCAAAGACTGTTTCGTCGGAGTTTCACCAACACCAACATGCAGAGGACTTTACTTCTGAAATGGAAACAATAACACCACCCACACTCTCCCACACCACCGTTTTAACATATTAAAAAAAGGTTTATAATAATAATTTAATAAATTTATCAATGAACGGTACCCTCCCAGGGCAGGGCCTGTAGAGTGTAGACGGAATTACCCTGTAGAGCGTTTGGAAATTGATTAAGCTATTAAAACAAAACACAAAACAAAACAAAAAGCACGGAGGAGGCCTCCCACGTCGACCTACCAGAACAGACACAAAGGACATATCCAGGCTCTCAACTAAACATATCCGATCAAGTCACAACAGAGGGGCCTGAATAATACTTATGAGGTACACGCGGATCCTGAAGCAATCATGAATTAATAGCAAGAGCTACAGAAAAAAAAAAGATGAAAAGAAATATTCACAGAGTGACATAGCAGAGAAGGAAAACAAGAAAACACTACGGAAAAAAAAAAAAAAAAAAAACACGAAGACAAGCAGCACCAGCAGCCTTAACACCAAATCACATCCCATGACAAACACCGTGAAAACAAAAAAAACACCAATTGGGAAATGCGAATCAGTTCAAAATTCCAATCATGCTGAAGCTCAAATCATTTTTATTTTCTCATGATACTACGATGATAGTATTATGGGGAACCCCGTAGCAGCCACATCTCTGCTCAATGCCACTCGGGGGGGCCAACGGCGGCATATCTCTGGGTGGTGGGCGCCAATCTTGCCCAGGAAGGTTCATGAGGCGAATGGGGGATTGAACCCAAGACCTCCTGAATCCCACTTGCGTGCCTTGCCAACTAAAATAGGCCGCTGGATTTCTGAAACTCAAATCATTCCACAAGACTTACAGGGAAAAAACAAACAAACAAAAAAACAACAACACACACACACACACACACACACACACACACACACACACACACACACAGAGAAAGAAAAGCAGCCGCCTTGACACCAAATCACATCCCAATGCGACCACATCACAGCAAGCACAGCAATTGAAAAATGGACATGATTGCTAAATGCCAAATCACCACCCGAGGCTCACAAATAAAATAATAAAAAAGATGCAAAAAAAGACTCGAATTTTTCAAAAAAATTGAAAAAACACAAAACAAAGGAAGACCAGCAGCAGACTAAACACCAAATGGCACCCCGCCGCAACCACACCACCGCAAGCGACACATTTGGAAAATGAAAATCATTCTTAACACAAACCTCACAAATAAAATCCGCTCCTGTTCCATCTCTATTAGGGACGCCACTGCGACCCGCTCTCTCGCTCATACCTACCTTCGCATTCCCGATGCATATAAAAAAGGAAGAGGCTACTTTTACGACCATCTTTGTTCGAGAAAGAATGCTCGTCTTCACAACAGATGATACACAACAGAAAAACGACACGACACTTGTTTCCACGCTTCTTGATATGTCCAAAAATATATAACTTTCCCGACACAGCTGTTACATCATGCCTGTATTGGACTGTAAACGTAGCTTGTATACATTTCATGATCAGGGTGCACTGTGTACCGGGGAACCGGGGGAAGACGGTAGACCTTTCTCAACAAACGCTCGCTCGATTTCTTCGTCATCTCCTCCATCCTTGTCTCGATATGCTTTCCAAAGGCGCACCTAGCCGCGCACACCGTATGCATGGCAAGTCCACGGAACGTGTCCCGACGGGAAATCCCATAGGACTGCTGTTGCTGACAGATGCCCGTGCCCGTACAAGCCGAAAGATATGGCAAAAATGCGATCACAGTGTTGGCAGGAATAGTTATTGTCGAATCCAACGGCAAAGATCCGGTGGCAGGATACTATAGAAAAAATAAATGCTAGCGGCATTCCGCGGTGACGCCCCACATTACGTACCGAAACCAACGGGCAAATTGCATGCACCACAGACAGAGTGTCACTGCCACCGCAAACCACCATAGTCATCCGTCCGCCATCTTCTCGACTAATCCTGACGGAGAAGCAATCTCTTTTCCTAAGTCAAGGATACTATCAACAGGCAAATAAATAGGAACCAGCAAAAAAGCCTAAAAAGGCATTCTATGAAATAATCATATATGCAGGAGATATATGAGGAATCAATGAGACTGTGCACGGCAACCCCCACAAAGGAAAGGAAAGTTTGGTTTGCTCTCCGCCCTAGCCTTCCTTATGTATACGTCAGATGGCCCAGAATAACAACAACCACCTCTGCCACCCATAATAAGCTTCTGTCCAACAATGGGAGCACCTATTCTCTATAAAGAATTCTCTCTCTCTCTCTCTCTCTCTCTCTCTCTCTCTCTCTCTCTCTCTCTCTCTCTCTCTCTCTCTCTCTCTCTCAATCTAATACACTATTACTCTATAGTCGTCTTTCCAGACTGCACCCGCAGGAAAGCGCTGATCTGCAGCTTCCTCCCCTACACTTCATCTGTGCGTCCTCTTATTGTATGTTCTAGAAAGTTTCCTAATTCCAAAATAGTCCCGCAGCAAGACAGATGTGACAGGTTGCACTTGCACGGCATCTTCGGCAGATGACGAATTATATGGCCTAATCTTTCCTGAGGACAAATCCCTTTATCAACGACATCTGTGCACACCATTATTTAGCTTTCAAGAACGCATGGTCCACCAACAAACGGTTTAAAGAGGTAGTTTCTCCACCTGTCACGACCGAGCACTTCCCTGGACCCTGAGTCTGTACAAACGTTTCTCTGTCCAGTACTTGCAAAACTTGCCTTCTTTGAAAAGAACGTGGCAAACTCTTCGTCTTCCCTCCACCGCCTGGACATAACACCTTGTATTAGAGTCCCCGCACGCATTCATGTGTGTGCATTTAGGCTGCAGCAACCCAGGGTTCCGACTCTGCAGTTCCTATACTCTCAACCTTTTTCGCTCCAACCTGCCTTTCACCTCCGTATTTTACGGGGAGCTCTGACGCTGGGATATACCTGCAATACAATCCCCACATTTATCCACATATAAGCAACCATATGCATGCATGTAAAGAAAAAAACAGAGAGAGAGAGAGAGAGAGAGAGAGAGAGAGAGAGAGAGAGCTCTGCTGCTGGGATATACCTGCAATACAATACCCAATTAATCCACATATAAGCAAGGGTATGAATGCATGTCAAAAAAAAAAAAAAAAGAGAGAGAGAGAGAGAGAGAGAGAGAGAGAGAGAGAGAGAGAGAGAGAAACATACAGGCCAATATCTACATGCGCATCAAGAAAGCAGTTTGGATGCAGTGTCCATCAAACTCGTAGAAACATGCCGATCTATTTTTAGATCAGCATCCATGCTTTTCCTTCCCCATCTGACAGGCAACAGACAACAGCAGCATGTCCTTCATCTTTGAAAAACCGCAAGCGATTTGAATAACCTCAGGAGGTCTAGCTCTTTTTCGAAAACCAAGCAGCCTTAGCCCAAACTGTGTAGCACATGATGCCTTGTCACAATGCCGCTCCTATTGAGAAGCGGACAAACTCTCATACAGCACACTGCGGCAGCGAAATGTCTTTCGCCAGCAGCACAGGGACAAATCTGTAGAGCAAAGCCCGAGGACAGGAGTATGAACTTCAGAGTGCATTTCATTCATTCATTGATTTCGGCATTGAAGAAGAAATACAACGCCAAAAGAGAAAACTAAGAAATTGACAATCACAGGAGGTGCAGAGGCGTCAATATATATCTTACTTGAGCAGCGTCTCCGTCACCTTCCCTGGCGATGCAAGGACCCATTTGCTCTTCTGGCGCTCCGTGAGGAACGGATTAATCATATTATAGACCACACTGAAGTACCAGGGCACATTTATAAAGATCTGCTTGACATAACATTCATCAGAACACGATTACCAAATTCAGCATGGGTGCTATCGTATTATAAACACCACCAAAGCACACGACAAGCCAATAGAAATCTGTTTCGCAAAACACAGAACGAATGTACTCTGTTTGACATGACACTGAAAGAACAACGAAAATTTGGAACACAAGTGCTGGCCATTACCTCTCACAGCGTAAAGCTGCGTTCAAATCCAACCAAACAACAAAGGGAAACAAATATTGAGAATTTGAGATGCTCCGATTTCATATGACGTAAGCCTCTGCAATGTCAAACAGTGAAACAATGACTACAGTCTTCGGGTCAACACAGCGTATGGTCGTTATAGCTGAATTCAGGGTATCTTTCAGTCTAAAATTCTGTAAATACAGCTATAATGACACTGTATTCAGGGGAGATCCCTCAGTAAAACAGGACAGGCTACTCCTCATCAACTTAATCATGTCAGGGCTAGGCGCCAAAAAATATTAAAAACTTCAAAAATCATAAGTGCATTTTGCAAAAAGTATCCACATGTTTTTCAACTTATTTTCTTCTTTTGGTAAAAAATCCAATGTCACCCTGAGCCAAAAGTTGTTCAACTTATAAGTTCTTTTCCGTTTTTTCCGAACTTCTTTTTTTTTTTTTTTTTTTTGCTAGGACCTACGTTGGCCCTTGCACGCCCAGGGGTGAAGTCCCACCGCCCAAGTTTAGTTTACAAAACGCAACCCTGTGACACCATTTTGACATTAATAAATTCGAAACAAAAAATTGAAAAACCGAAAAAAAAACCATGGTTGTCAACCGGACGTCCGGATCGGGATCCAGACGGTCCCGTCTGGATGTCCGGATCCTGTGTCCGGTTTGAGGGGTCCGGTTGGGGCCCATTTTGAGAAAATTTGAATTTTTTTTTGGGGGTCCCCAGGCGATTTTCCAGTGCCTGGTGGATACCCGAAAATTGTTGCTGCAGTTTTTGGTGCACCTTTGGGCCAACCGGACCGGCCCTGAAGGGCCTGTACTTGCAATCTTGGGTGAGCTTCAGCGGGCCAAGGAGAATCGTGTGTGTGTGTGTGTGTGTGTGTGTGTGTGTGTGTGTGTGTGTGTGTGTGTGTTGTCATATTCGCTAGACGCTAAAAAAAAGCATGACTGTGCCAGACTGTTTCGTCGGACTTTCACCGACTTATCAGGAGGTTGATCCCCGACAGTCTGCCCGGGATTCATTTGACTGATGGACAAGGACTCACAACATCGCCCAGAGTTAGCGACACCCCTGAGAAAAGTGGTCTGTGTGTGTGTGTGTGTGTGTGTGTGTGTATGTGTTCAAAATACGTCGGATAATACAGCTACAGCAGTGTGTCTGTTTTTTTTTTTTTTTTAATTATCCGGGCATCCGGACCTGTTCATTCATAACCGGACCGTCCGGTTCCGTATGCCCGGTGGTCCGAATCAGTGTCCAGATTACCGGACGTCCGGATTAATCCAGACACGGGTCCGGGCCCGGTGTCCGGTGTCTGGATGTCCGGGTCCGGGACAACCATGAAAAAAACGCTAGAAACAGCTTTTCTCCTTATTTTTGATGAAGTAACTCCGAGAAATGGAACACGTCTGGCACAGTCGGAGTGAATGTCTCCGTGGAAAAAGGGTACTTCCCATGGCGAGGGGACAGGAGGTCCCCATTCGTAAAATGGACAGGGACAACATGGATGGCCAGATGCGTTCATTGCCCGAAGAAGGAAGAGAGTTTGATGCGAGAGAGCCAAACACAGCTGTCAGAGTTCCTCCGTTTCAGGGTGTAATGATATCTATAAAAAAAAAAAAACGAAAGGCAAATAAGTTGAGAAATGTACCCTACCCTCGGTAGGGTAGTTTTCTCAATGGAAAATGGCTTCCCGCCCAAACCAAAAGGGCCAACGCATACTACAAAACGGATTTCACGTCAAAGAAAAATTCTACAAAATGACAAAATCTAATAGGTTATTCTCCTGTATTTCGGTACCCTTAGATTCTCAATACATCAACGGCAGAGCTCCATCCCACCATGCCACCCGTGATAGAAAGCTCAGCGTTGAGAAACTCAACTGGCGGTGGGACTTCACCCCAGGCCGCCCAGGCAAGCAAGGTCACCCGGGCGGCCCGGCTGGTAGACTTAGTTTCAGGGTACGAGGTATTCTGATGGATGACAAACCCATGGCGTGCCTTTTGTTTAACCCACCAGTACAAGGGCCCAGCAAAGTTGAGTCCAATTGAGCCTCTCCTAAAATTCCTGAGGCTTGGGGACAGGGCGTCCAAAGGGTCAGTAGAAGCAAAGTTGTCCCACGCCGTGGAGTGTCACTACCTTCTTCACCCGAATAGAACGCCCTGTCTTTATAAGCTGCATTTCGCACAACTTTCAGTCCAGATGCAGCAATAATGAGCGGGTGCTTTATTCAGGTGAAGACGGTAGGCCCAGCCCCGAGCAACAAAAAAATCCATCTTCCCCCAGGCGGGCCCTACCAGCGGGGGTTACGTGCCGACTACAGAGCGAAGTGTACGAGAATTGCCATGTCCGTGGGTGTTGTGTTGTGTATGTTGCGTTGGACACTACACCCTTGCAGGGGTGGGGTGGATATCACGACCGGTACGATTCCACTTGAGAACACAGTGTCCTGGCTGTACTGGTCAAGAGACTTGCTCTTGAGGCCGAGGTCGCCGGTTCGAATCTGTGCTTGCACTCATAAGGGCAAATCGCGCAGGGTGCAGGGACCACGTGCTTCAAATCCAAATTTCCGGCGTTAGGGGCTTAGGCCCAGATGTTCGGAATCCATACTACTGTCCCAGGTCCCCTAAATTTTTGGAGATGCTCATTCGGATTCTCCAGATGTACTTGTGGTTTAAAACCACCAGTTAGTTCAGATGAGCCTAAGTTGACAAAGCTACCTCCGAAGGCTTTGCGAGCCTGAAACTGCGCTTATGAGAAAGTGAAGTGGCCTGCTGCTTCGCCACCAGCCGAGGCTCAAATTGAAATGCTCTCACCACACAAACAAGGAAGAGCAGTAGTCGGCTTCCGGTGAGCCCGCGGTTTAATTGAAGGGGATCGAGGGGTTCTCTCAAACCACTGAGGTAAGTCCCAAGCTTTTACTAATAACATAGAAGGGTAGGAAGTGGCCCCTGCGCAAGGGTGACACGCATAAATCGAGAAATGGTCCAAAAAAAAAAAAAAAAGAAAAAAAAAAAAGGGTAGGAAGTGGTGCATCGAAAGAGAAGCAGGCAGTACCATCAGCAAAAGGTAGGGAAAACCATCATGGATACTACCCCCTTCCACGACTGCGGAATGGTCCTTCGTGATTAGGTGATACTTTGGTCACCTCAGGCCGGATTGAATCGTTGTCTCGGCTGGTGTCCTGGAGGCCTAAAAGGGTCTTTGGGGGGGGG